GGAGAGCAGCCATCACAGGGGCCTGAAATAACTCGGTGTCAGAGGATCTCTCAGAAACCGGAGCCCTCCAGCACCGTCCGGAAGTGACAGCTGCGATCTTCTGGGAAATTTTTGGAACAGCATCTAGTATGAAATGTGATTTATGTCGCCCACATTTTAGGAAATAGTTTCTAAATGGAGTTCACCTCATTTATAGCACACACGACTCCTCAGAGCGTGTGAGGAGGCTCGTTTGAATGGGGGAAACGTCAAGGACAGGCCCGAGGAGCAGCACACATCCGGCCCCAGGTCTCCGCGTCCACGGGGCTGCGCTGCTGTGTGGGCCTTGGGCAGCCGCGTGTCCATGTCCGAAGGGAGCACGGCCATTGGTGACTCTCCTCATTGTCCCTGGGAGAGCGCCTCATTGTTCTTCAGGGCGGAAACAACATTCCTGGCGGTTTCATCAGTTGGGCAGTTTGAAAGGAGACCTCCTGGAGGGAGCAGCTAGGAATAAAGACCTCAGACGCCAGCCAGACCCCCTGCCTCCCAGGCGTGCCTCCCAGGCGTGCCTCCCAGGCGCTGTGTGACCTTAGGCAGGTTGTTTAACATCTCTGGGCGTTATTTCCATCATCTGTGGACACATAGGAGTGCCCTTGCCTCACGGAAGTTGGCTGTGCGATACTGGAATGTGTGATTAATTCCATGAATCATCGCACAGGAAGCACCTCATGGTGTCCTAGGACATTGTTCAACAGTGCCAGGTCTTCCTGTTTTTGAGAACGTGGCTCCAGGTTTACTCAGCCGCTGGGTTTAATTCCTGACGGACACTGATTGGTTTTATGATTTGGGGCAAATAATGTGGCCTTGCTTTACCTGCTAAAATGCACATAATCCTCCAACTCCAAGGGTCCTTGCTGAGGGGAAATGAGAACTCGCCCATAGCACTGTGCCTAGAGCTCAGCAGTGTGAGTGTCCAGCAGGGATATTTAATTACAATAGTGCCACCCAGTTAAGGAGTTTGCAAGTGAAAGAAATTGTGTCCAGTTTGTGTCCTAAGACATGGCACGTGGTGTTTGGGTTTCCTTGGCCAGCAGACAAGGCCTCGCCCATGGCCAGGCCTCACCGCCCTCCTGCCTGGTCCCCTCTCCTCTGTTCTGACTGGGCTGTGAGCAGTGACCCGAGTTGGAGTCCGGTGGCCAACCCAGAGGTCAGCCTGGGAAGCGGCATAGTTGGAATTCCTGGGCAGAGCTGTGCCTGGGTTTTGTTTGTGTAAGCATGCGTGGACGAGTCTTCAGTCTGGCTTATTCCCGAATATGGTATCCTTCCATCCTGCGGCCGCTGACACCCAGATGCAGCCCAGCCTCGGGGGTCCGGCGGAATGTGGCCCAAAGCGCTCAGTGTCGGTGGGAAAAGGACCACACGGGCCCTGCTGTTTGCTGGCGTCCCTGGGCAGGGAGAGCCGGTTAAGATTGTGTTTGCAGCCGAAACCGGTTTGGGTCAGTGGTAGAACGTCGGTCTGTGGACTGAAGGGTCCCAGGTTCAATTCCGGTCAAGGGCATGTACCTTGGTTGCAGGCACATCCCGGTAGGGGGTGTGCAGGAGGCAGCTTGTCGATATCTCTCTCTCTCCCTCCCTCTCTGTAAGAAATCAATAAAATATATTTAAGAAAGAAAGAAAGAAAGAAAGAAAGAAAGAAAGAAAGAAAGAAAGAAAGAAAGAAAGAAAGATTGATTGTGTGTGCAGAGTGGGATTCCCCCCAGGCCTGCGGGAACTCCGAGCCTCTCACAGCCTGGCTTCCCCCCTCGGAAGGAAGTTCATGGCTACATGCACGGAAGACAGCCTGTGTGGGAAGAGAAGGGAATCCAGCCCCGACGCCGGCCTGGGGGCGCTCTCCTGTCAGCTGCTCCGGCTTCTGGCTGCTCTGGCGCCTCCTGGAAGCACCCAGCCCTATTTTTAGAGCCGGCCTGTCTCGGGGGATGCGCTGCTGCAGCTGCAGAAACTCGGTAGCAGCTGCGCAGACATTCTGATTTAAAGGACCCATTGTAATGTGGACGAAGCTCGGTTACCGAATGAAAGGGGATGGAGTGTTACGGTGCATCAGCTGCTCCAGACCATCTCCTGGAAGCCCCGAGTGTATTCCTTCTCCTGGTGGCTGCGTACCTGCCGCCCCGCCCCTGCCTGTAGTGTGTGTGTGTGTGTGTGTGTGTTGTGTGTGTGTTAGCTCTTGTGTTGCTTGTCACGCTCAGCTGCCCATGGAGGAGGAGGAGGAGGAGGAGGAGGGGGAGGGGGAGGGGGAGGGGGAGGAGGAGGGGGAGGGGGAGGAGGAGGAGGAGGAGGAGGAGGAGGAGGTCCTCGCTAACTGGAGGGAGGGTGCAAAGAGCAGCAGGTTCAGGAAGTGTGACTCACGGGCCAGATCTTCATCCCATGAGCCCCTCGCAGGGGTCATGCTCAGCTCCGTCCAGATAATGTATGTAAAGGTGCCCAGTGGTTTAGGAATCATGAACGTCAGCATGATGGCAGGGACGCCATGTGCTGGGCACGCCCTGAGCAGCAGGCCAGGACCCTAGAGTGTAGACTCAGAGTGCAGACAGGATCACCTCGGCCACTGGTTTTCAAACATTTTGGATATGGGATGCTCCCTCCCCCAGCCCAATGCACGAGTATATACAACTGATATAAACTCTGTTCTGTTCCTGGCATTTGTTTCTCATTTCTTGTCGAGTTAGACGTAAAGTCGGTGGCAGCGAGGCTGCGTAGGCACAGGTCGGAACGGCCCGCTGCAGGAGAGACGCAGCAGCTTTGTGTCCACTTTGCATTCTGGTTGCAGCGTCCAGAGAAAACCAGTCATAGCACGTGGCAGCTGTGGTTGAGGGTGGCTCTCCTGTAACCGTAAGAAACCCTTAGAACAGAAGGTGGCAGCATTAGTGAGATTGCTGATGACAAGCCACTCCTGTCACACTGCCCCTGTGTGGGGCTCTGGGATGGAAACAGAGCTCGGGGGCCTGTGGGGCAGGTGTGGGTGCCTCTCAGTGACACGTGAAGCGGTGACCTCACAGGCCCAGTGCCCTGCGACCCGCAGGAAGGTCTGTTGAGTTGTCTTTGTTCCTTGGAGGAATTGCTCTCTGTCCTGGATCGGGCCCAGACGTCAGGTTTATATCCTGTTGTGTGTGAGGCTCCCGGGGGTTCACGCTGCGGGGCTGACAGGAAGTTAGGGGAGGGCAGTCTGCCTGTGCTGAGAGGGTTCTGAGGAGGAGAGGTGCGGTCCTCAGTACGTGGCTGCCCGGGTCTCAGGTGCAAGAATGCAGGACCCCAGGAGAGCCGGGTGCAGACCGGGGACTCGCATGGAGCCGGGCCCACTCCTGGGCCTCTCCCAGGACGGCTGCAGCGTGCTGGTGTCACCCCAGGGTGCACAGCCTCGTGTCTGCACCGCTGTGTTTTGTTTCTCGGAACCGATGCTTAGTTTGGGAAATGGAGCCCTTGTGTTGCATTTAGCTGCGCAGTGTTTATTGTCATTGCTCGGCCACTCCGCTAGCGATGATGCCTCCTCCTGTTGACGGCCCCCTGGGCTGCTTCCAGTGTTTTCCAGTACACTCCTCGGGCACCCACCCCCGGGCACGTGTCTGCAAGGGCAGGGCTGCTGGGTGGTAGCGTGCGTGCACCTTCAGCATTACTCAGGGGTGTCTGGGGCCCCCCCAGTCCTCATTCCCACAGCAGCATGTGGGCGTCCCCACTGCTCCACACCCGTGTCTCAGCCACTGGGGTGACGACTGAGCTGGGCACTCTCCCCAGTAAGTTCACGGGCACTTGGACGGACTGCACCTTTGCGAGCGCCTGTTCTGTGTCTCCCGTTTTCACACCAAGGTGCCTTACTGGTTAGTAGGAGGCTGGGTCTGTTCTGGAAGCTGACATGAGTTCGCATGAGGCTGTCTGTAAACACAGCGTCCCAGCAGGCGGCAGGAATAGACCGGGCATCACTCGCAACCTCTCCTTCCTCCTGTGTCATAGAGGTTCCCTCCCGAGGTGTCTCTGCCCTTCGTCCTCAGTCCCTTCCTGTCCCCTTTCTACCAAAAGCTTCTCGTCTGGCCTGGCACTGTCCCCAGAGCCTATGTCTTTGCCTCTAGACAGTGATTCCCATGACATAACAGAGGCCCCCTTTCCCCTAACCCCTCTTTTGCCTCCCCTCCCATTAAGAATCAGGACGTGGGGTGCGAGGCACTATCGCTGACGTGAGGGTATTGGTGAACCTTCGCGTCATAGTCTCTTTCCACTCAGGCCATCCTTGGCTGCTCTCCCCCTCCCACCAGCTGGCGCTCACTGCCTCCGGGGATCACACTGGGGCTCCTGGCCGAGCCCTCGGGGCCCTCTGTGATCCGACTTCCCTTTCGGGGCGTTCTCAATCTCCAACCGAGACTTGCTACAGAGGTTCTGAGCTCCACAGAGGCAGGAATGAGAGGATGTGGTCTCGGCCGCCTCAGCAATTGTTAGTTCTTGTTGGACGAAATGTCTGCCTTTCGGGGAAAAGGCCAGATTGGGCGGTGACACTCGTCTCTGTGCTGTGAGGCACTGCCTCCTGGTTACTTCTTGCTGTAAAAAAAATAATGTAGCAAAAACAGTAACTCCTGAGTCTGCAGAGGGGGCTCAGCCTGCTCCCAGAGTAGGAAGGCTCAGCCTGGGGGCCCGTTTCCAGGATGGCCCGCCCGGTTGGTTGTGTGCTGAGAGCTCCCCAGACCTGGGCGGCGGTTCTCCTCCTTGTGGGCCTCCCCCGGGGCAGGCAGCCTGGGCTTCCCCGCTGCTGGCATCTGGGTCCTGAGAATGAGTGTCCGAGGATCCAGGAGTCGCTCGTCTCCAGGACCTGGGCCCAGACGCAGCCTCCTCCTCGCTGTGCCTGAGTGGGTCTGAGCTCACCCAGACTCGGGCCGGGGCACTGATCCGCAGCCCCTCCTCTCCGTGCAGGGGCGTCAGAGGACGGGCGGCCCCGTTGACCGCCACGTCCTAACAGTGTCCCCTCTGACTCCCCGCAGCCCTGACGGCCGCTGCCGGACGGGGGAAGCTGGACGTCTGCGAGCTGCTGCTGGAGCGCGGAGCGGCCGTGTCCCAGGCCAACAGGAGAGGCGTCCCGCCGCTGTTCTGCGCCGCACGCCAAGGGCACTGGCAGGTACCCCGCGGGCCCCGGGTGCTTCGGAACAACGGAGGGGGAAGGAGCTCACTGAGGCCCATCGCCGCTGGGCCCGCCGCGGCTCCCCACCCCGGGTGTGCCAGTGTGCCGTGTCCTTGCTTCTGCTGGTGCTGTCTGCACTCTCTGACAGGCAGCCCGGTGGGCGGGGACCAGGAGCAAGGCTGTCACCAGCTGGGAGACCACAGGGGCGTCCTGGCGCCTGGGCTGGGGCCATGGAGTGGGGGGCCCCATTATAACAGAAGACAGTGCTGTGGAGTGTCTGTTGTTGGTGTGATTGTCCAACACTCCCGGAGGAAGGTGGTTCTCTAGAGTTCTCTGGAAAAGCACGCGGGCCAGCCTGGCTTCTGTCACCGTGTGTGAACGGCCCACTGTCCTTCAGTCACGGAACACGGGGCCCGTTGAGAGCAGCGTTCGGTCACCTGTTCCTTCATTTTGTCAGCCATGTGCCTACCCCGTGCCTGGCCTCAGATGGCACACAGGCAGCAAACAAGCGCATCTTTCCGTGTTCGTAATAGGGAGAGTTTTCTAGACCCAAGTTTGCATCATGGTATTGCATCTCTCCCGGTTCCTGCCGGTTCTGTTGGTAGAAGCTGTGTACAGCTGCTCCTCACTCCCAATATTTCGGCTTTTCTCCTTTCGCTTCCCAGGGCTTGGTGTGCAGCAGGCAGTCCCTGTAGCCCCCGCACAGTGCCCTGGCTAACTAACCCTCTCCCCTGGTCTGTTTCCCACATGGGGGAGTTTGGGAAGCATTTGTTGGTGTGCCAAGAACCAGAGAGCAATGGGAGTGTGCCTCCTTCTCCCTCCTGGGTGGCAGTTGCATGAGATGCTTCTCTGGTTTCCTGGTTTTGCTCCCCAACCTCATCACGTGCATTGTTGAAAGGCATGGTCCCAGCCCTAGCCAGTTTGGCTCAATGGGTAGAGCATCAGCCTATTGACTGAAGAGTCCCGGGTTCAATCCTGGTCAAGGGCACATGCCCAGGTTGAGGGCTCGATCCCCAGTTGGGGATGATTCCCTCTCATCATTGATGTTTCTGTCTCTCTCTCACTCTCCCTTCTCTGAAATCAATAAAAATGTATATTTAAAAAAATACATGAAAAATTTTTTTAAAAGGCATGGTCCTTAGCGAGACTCTCCTGAAGGCAGCTCTGCTGAAAATGGCCCACTATGAACATAAAACCACACACCAAGCAGAGTCTGTGAAGAGCAGATTGCATGGGGTGTGGTGGGTGGAGGTTTCCCTGCAACCCCATCTCTCTGCCTTGCACCCCACCTCCCCTGCACCCTTTACTACAGAAGTGTCGATTCAGGTCCCTTTAGTTCTGCTCAGTTATCCGGCAAGCCCCGCTGTGGCTGTCTGGTCAGCACTTGATTGTGATTGACACCCAGGTCCTGTGCCTGCGTGGTTGTAAATGTATGCATCTGGAAGGAGATTTTGTTCACAGGAAGACAATAGGAAGTTGTTACAGGCCATACAGATTACCCAATTCAGAGGGGCTTTTAAAGGAAGAGAGTCTTTTTGGGACTTTGAAAGGTGGGCAGTCCCGCAGAGTCCGGTTTGGCTCAATGGATAGAGCATCGGCTTGGGGACTGAAAGGTCCCGGGTTTGATTCCGGTCAAGGACATGTACCTTGGTTGCGGGCATATCCTCAGTAGGGGGTGTGCAAGAGGCAGCTGATCAATGACTCTCTCTCATCGATGTTTCTAATTCTCTATCTCTCTCCCTTCCTCTCTGTACAAAATCAATAAAAATATATTTATAAATAAATAAATAGGCGGGCAGTCCTGCCTGGGGACGGAGAGCAGGGTGTGCAGTGGAGCAGAGGATCGTGACGTGGTGTGTTTGTTTCAGATCGTGAGGCTGCTGTTGGAACGCGGCTGCGATGTGAACCTGAGTGACAAGCAGGGCCGGACCCCCCTCATGGTGGCCGCATGCGAAGGGCACCTGAGCACCGTGGAGTTCCTCCTTTCCAAAGGTAGCGGCATGTCTGCTCCTCGGGGGTCTCTGCGGGGTGGACAGAGACGAGAGCTTTGGGGGACTGATTCCGTACCTTCTGGTTCTAAGTTTACGTCTAACTGAACGAGGGAGAGAAGAGGTGATGAAGCCGCATACCCATTCCTCGGCTTCAGCAGGACAGTCAGGTCCCGAGGCAGCCTCAGGCTTCTCGGCACCTCACCCGGGCTTTGTCTTGAGGAGTTCAGGGTCTGTGATTGGGCTTTTTCTTCTTCCAGGTGCCACCCTTTCTTCTCTGGACAAAGAGGGTTTGTCAGCATTGAGCTGGGCTTGTCTGAAAGGCCACAGGGCCGTGGTCCAGTTCCTGGTTGAGGAAGGAGCCGAGATAGACCAGATGGACAAGAACGGCCGCACCCCCCTGGACCTGGCGGCCTTCTACGGCGACGCAGAGACCGTAGGTACCGCCCGTGGTCACACTGCGCGCAGGGCTGGTGCCACAGAGAAACCCTGACCCGAACCGCATCCAGAGTGTGTGTGTGAGAGTGTATGAGCCTGAGTGTGGTGTGTGTGTGTGTGTGTGTGTGTGTGTGTGTGTGTGAGAGTGTATGTGCCTGAGTGTGGTGTGTGTGTGCACTTGAGTGTGGTGTGTGTGTACACCTGAGTGTGGTGTGTGTGTGCACTTGAGTGTGGTGTGTGTAAGTGCCTGAGTGTGTGTGTGAGTGTTGTATTGTAGCATATTTTTGTTTTTATTTAATTGTGTGACAGTCTACTCCAGAATGTAATAAAGATTTGAATAGACTCTGAAAAGCTTAAAAATACATGATTATAAGCTGTATGTACAATGGATACACACACATGCCTGTGTAGCCTGATTTTCTTATAGTAATCCGTATAAATAGAATTCTTATATAGATCATTTAAAAATCACTTCTATATATATGAGAAGTTGCTAATCAGATAATTAGCTGGTTTGTTTTAAAGCCAGTATGGCATTGTCTAGAATGCTTTGGCACTTTCTTTATCTCTTGACTGATGCTTAAGTCTAATTGAGATCTAGGGGACAAAACCTTAATAAACTAAGAGCTGAAAACTGCTTTTCGGGGTGGAAACCATGTCTTTGTCCAGATTCACATCTCTGGTCCCAGCAGGCACTAGAGGACTTCCTGGCCCTTTTAGAGTTACCATGCTTGAATGTTTAATGTCTAGTGTCAGGGTTACATTGGAAAAACGCCATGGTCGCCGGCACATCTGGGCCCTGATGCTTTTAAAAGGTAGTGACATTAGAGCGAAATGGTCTCTATTTCCTGGACATTGTAAACTGTCCTTAATATTGATTTTCAGAAATAGCTATTTAACTGAATCTCACCTATCTACACTTACACTTTTCATCTTGTACTTTTTATCTTATACCTTACAAAATCCTATAGCCCATCAACAACAGGGAACAGTGAAGGAGTGTAGCATTCTATTACCTTTTTAAAAACTGTGATGAGCAAAATAACATAAAATGTGCCACCGGAGCCATTTCTAAGAGAAGAGTTCTGGGTGTGAACTGTGCTCTCCCTGCTATGCCACCGATGTCTAGACATTCTTACCTTCCCAAACTGAAACCCCGTCCCCATTACACAACTCTTCCTCACTCCTCCCTTCCCTGGGAACCCCCATTGCACGCTCTGTCTCCCTGCATTGGACTGCTCGGGGTACCTCATGAGTGGATTTTACAGGACCTGTCCTTTCCCGCCTGGCTTATTTCACTTCGCATAGTATCTTCACGTGACAGGATTTTCTTCCTTTTTAAGGCTGAATAAACAGTCCATTGTGTATATGCACTACATTTGCTGTACGCATTCACCTACCCATGGGCGCTTAGGCTTTCTCCCCCTCTTGGTTATTGTGAATAGTGCTGTTGAGAACATGGATATGCAAGTGTGTCTTTAAGATCCTACAGATTCTTTGAGACCTGCGCATATTCTTTAGGGGGTAGACCCAGACGTGAGATTGCTGGATCTAATGGTGATTCTATTTTTTAAAAAATATATTTTGATTTTTTTTACAGAGAGAAAAGGAAATAGAGAGCTAGGAATATTGATGAGAGAGAAACATCAATCAGCTGCCTCCTGCACACCCATGTACTGGTGATGTGCCCTCAACCAAGGTACATGCCTTTGACCAGAATCGAACCTGGGACCTTTCAGTCCACAGGCTGATGCTCTATCCATTGAGCCAAACCGGTTTCGGCTGGTAATTCTATTAATTTTTTGAAGAACCTCCCTACTGTGTCCCGAGTGGCTGCACCATTTCCCCTTCCCACCAACGAAGCACAGGTTCCTGCTTCTCCACATCCTCACCCACACTCACTATTCTCTGCTTTATTTGTTGTGGGTATGGCAGCCATGCCAACAGTGTGAGGCAGCACACCCTCGTTGCGGTTGTGATTACTTGCATTTCCGTAATGACCAGTGATGTTGAACATCTTTTCATGTGCATATTGGTCATTTGTGTATCATCTTTGGCAAAACATCTATTCAGATCCGTTGCCTGTTTTTAAATCGGGTTATTTGGGATTTTGTTGTTGACTTGTCGGTGTTCTCCTCATCTTCTGGATGCATATCCCTCTGTTGTCATCTGTAACAGCGGGCAGACTGACAGGGTGGATCTGTCAGATCCACATGACACTGGCTACCATCTTCCTATTCAGTAAGCAGAGCTGTGTGAGTGGCCAGAGTGGTTTCTCCTGTTGTTCTCTGTATAGCCCAAGTGACAAGGGTCTCCAACGTGTCATCTTTGTAGTCCCAGTATCCAGGTCTCGTTCCTAAGCCCCGAAGTGAGTAATCATCGGGTCCCTCTGATCCCACGCTGCTCATCCGTCCGGCCTGCTGTGCCCCGCTGTGTGGGTCTGAGTGTCTCTGAGGTGCCTGTGCCCGGAGCCTCCTACAGGGCCTCCTCCCTGTCTCTTCTCTGTGGCCCCAGACAGGGTGAGGCAGACACATGGTGACATGTGCATGTACCGGCCTGTGGTATGTGAGTGTGTGTGCACACGTGCCCCTCCCGGGGAGCCTCCCTGCCGATTTCAAATTCACGCTGACAGAGCGGGGCTCTAGGTATGGATTGCCGCTGCTCTTCCCTGCTCTCTGTCAACTTGCTTTCCATGCTAGGATCCCTGATGGCCAGAGGCACCCGTCACCAGGAGAAGCCCCTGAGCCAGGCCCTGCAGGTGGCCCAGGACAGCACCCCTGCCAGGAGCCGCCCCTCATGCCTCTGTCCCCCTGCAGGTGCTGTACCTGGTGGACAAGGGCGCCGTGATCGAGCACGTGGACCACAGCGGGATGCGTCCCTTGGACAGGGCCATCGGTTGTCGGAACACATCGGTCGTGGTCACGCTGCTGAGGAAAGGAGCCAAACTAGGTCAGTAAATGCTTCCGTTCAGCGGCTCCCAGGGTAAGCTGTCAGGTGTTTGGCCCTGGCCGGCGTAGGTTTGAGCATCATCAGCCTGAGGCCCGAAGCGTCCCGGGTTTGATTCCCAGTCAAGACAGGGCCAAGAGCATGGGAAGAGGAAAGAGGGATAGAGCCGAGGCATGGAGAGCGGGGTGGTGGCAGGCTGCAGAGGGGCGCACACGAGAACACACACCTCCCCTGCCAGTGGTCACGGGCACGGCTGGAAATGAAGTGATTACTATGCAGCCTTGTTTAATTTCACCCCGACGGCCATCGGAAGGGAGGGGTGGGTCGTGGCTGCTCCGCTACCCTCGTTTCCCAGTGCTTTCTCGCCGGGATAACAACACTCTGTGCCCAGTACAGCTCCCCTCCCAAGTGCTTGCTTAGTCCAGCGGCAGGTCAGCAGGGGTCCTGTCCCTGTCCGGGGCTGCGCTGCCCTCTGGAGGCTGGGTCTCTGCTGCCGAGTCCCTGCCGTGGGGTCCCGCTGTGTGTGATGGTGCTGGGCCGGGCCGGGAAGATCTGCTCTCCTTTCCTGCAAGGCTGCTGCGGCACCTCTCACTGCGTGTTTATTTTGCAGGAAATGCTGCCTGGGCGATGGCTACCTCCAAGCCTGACATTCTGATTATACTTTTGCAGAAGTTGATGGAGGAAGGAAACGTGTTGTACAAAGTAAGTGGTGATGCCGTGGCCCGCGAGCAGCCTCTCAGTCAGGGGCGTGATAGACGTGGCTGGGCGGCTGCGCGGGGCCCACGGAGCGTGGCTGCCGTAGATTCTCCGAGAGAGGCCGCTGGTCCGCTGCCCAGGCTCATGTCCTGACGGCAGGCGCTTCGAGGTAGAAAGCACTTCTCCTGTGTGAGAGCCGTGACCTCTGGGTGAGTCCCTGTGAAGGCAGTGTCGCTCCTGATTTAACTGGCACGTCCTCGGGAGACTCCTCAGTGCACAGAGCCGGGAGAGCCGGGGAGGAGCACTCGGGAGACATTTCCGGAAGAGAGCAAGCCTTGCTTATTTTATTTTAGTGTCTTTAAGCTTCTAGAGTGTGAAACTGTTTTTACTTAAGATATTAAGTAGCCGAAACCGGTTTGGCTCAATGGATAGAGCGTCGGCTTGGGGACTGAAAGGTCCCGGGTTCGATTCCGGTCAAGGGCATGTACCTTGGTTGCGAGCATATCCCCAGTAGGGGGTGTGCAAGAGGCAGCTGATCGTTGACTCTCATCATCGATGTTTCTAACTCTCTATCTCTCTCCCTTCCTCTCTGTACAAAAGCAATAAAATATATTTTTTTTTAAAAAGATATTAAGTAATATACACTGAGTGGCCAGAAAGTTATGATCTCTGAACATATAATAATCTGGTCACTTAGAGTGTGTGTGTGTGTGTGTGTGTGTGTGTGTGTATATATATATATATATATATATATATATTTTTTTTTTTTTTTTTTTTTTTTAGAGGCCTGGTGCATGAATTCATGGTCACGGGGAGGGGACATGGGCACTTAGTTGGCCAGCCTGCCTGCTGGTTGAACTCCTGGTCAAGGGGACAATTTTCATAGTAACCTTTTATTATATAGGATATACACTGAGTGGCCAGATTATTATGCGTTCAGAGATCATAATAATCTGTCCGTCAAGGTATAACACTGAACAAAGTGTTTCCCATTTCCCCTTAGAAATGGAAATATGACTTACACATGAATAAGTCTGACTTTAAAGTAAGACATCTGATTAGATCAAAAGCAAACTTTGACTGGGAAGGGCCAGATAGTAACTAGGGGAGGCTTTGCTGTTTGGTCTGTGTCCCCCCAGCCTCGGTGCTATGTGGACGAGGCAGCCACAGATGATACGTGAGCGAAGCAGCGTGGCTGCATCCCAAACTGAGCTGGTAAAAATCGGCGGCAAGCCACCCTTGACCCACAAGCTGTATTCCCCCCCCCCCCCCCCCCCCCCGTTAGTTGGATGCTTGGGCCATTTACATAGATCACCCTTCTTTCCTCGTCTGTGATTAGATAGAATTAAAAGATTCTAAAAACAAAACCCTAGATTATGGCCATTTTAATCCTTTTTACTGGGAGACAACAGCACTTGCAACGTTTTTAGTTTTTCCCTTTCCAGAATAATAACAAATAAATAGGCATGTCGCGTGACCCAGCAGGGTTACTGTCTAGGAATCAGTTTGAAATTGAGTTCAGAGCACGTACCGTTGCGGCTTTGAAGTGGCTTTAATGTGAATTTTGGTCGGCAATTACGTTAGAACTGCCAAGCCATTTTCAGCAGGCCGCACACCTGCTGCGCGGGACCGGCTGAGCATCGGAGATGGCTTTCTGGAGCCTGGAAAATGCCGCCTGGTGCTGTTCTGATTTTTAAAGCCCATGCTTTTGTCCCTCTCAAAAGAAAAATTATTATTCTGCAGCAAGACTCGGCTTGCCATAGGACCCACATTGTGTTTTCATTTGATTTCCGTTACGCTTAGCATTAAAATATCTCTGAGATATACTATATCAGATGAGAGACATGCACAAAAAGGTTTTCAAAAATATATAACGGAAGATAATGTGCTGTGTTAAGAAGGCTAGCGATCAGTCAAAACCGGTTTGGCTCAGTGGATAGAGCGTCGGCCTGCGGACTGAAAGGTCCCAGGTTTGATTAGGGTCAAGGGCATGTACCTTGGTTGTGGGCACATCCCCAGTGGGGGGTGTGCAAGAGGCAGCTGATCTATGATTCTCTCTCATTGATGTTTCTAACTATCTCTCTCCCTTCCTCTCTGTAAAAAATCAATAAAATATATATTTTTTAAAAAGGATAGCGATCAGCTTGGCAGCTTACAGACGCCTTCCTGTCAAACCAGCTTCCCTCTCACCTTGTGAAGCACAGGGCTTGGTTAGCGTCCGACTCTGGCCATGGCGCTTTCTCCTCAGGACCCTTCCAGCGTGCCGGCATGGTTTTGGTAGTTGGCGGGGTGTGGGGGGAGAGAGAATGACCTCTTTAGGGTGTGGGAGCTTGCCTGTCTTGGAGCCTCTGGCGCAGGATGACTGTGATGTTTGGATCCTAGAAAGGGAAGATGAAGGAGGCAGCCCAGAGGTACCAGTACGCCCTACGGAAGTTCCCTCGAGAAGGACTTGGAGAGGACATGAGGCCCTTCAATGAACTAAGAGTTTCTCTCTATCTCAACTTGTCTCGCTGCCGAAGAAAAACAAATGTAAGCTGTGCCCCTCGTTCCAGTCCTTCAGCTGTAGCCTGTCGTTGCAGTGGGGGAGGCCAGCCCACCCACAGACCTCCCCCAACATGCCCCCCCCCATGTGAGCCACGTGCACATTGCTGCGAACCAGGCATGTGGCACGCTGCCCCTCTTGGATGGCCGTCCTTGGGTCTCTCAGGGCGCTGACTGCGTGCACCTGGGGGCAGTTCCTCTACTTCAGTGCAAACCGCCCCTCCCCCCACCCCTCCCAGCCGCATGCGGCCAGCACAGTCCGAGCGGCCCAGCCCCAGATTCACATGGTAAAGTTCAACTCAGCTGTATTGCAACCTGCCTGGAGCTTACTGTGTTTGCTAAGAAGTTCTGCCAGTTACTGCTTTAAGTTGTAACCAATAGCAACTAACTTGGTTAATTTGTAACCCATAGCTAGATTTGTTTTTAGTACTTCTCTCTTCTACTTCCTTCTTAACTTCGCCCTCCCACCACCAAATCTGTTGACCTGTCTGCTCCTGAGCCCGCTGTTCCGCCTCCCGTCCTGTTAGCGTGGAGGACGCGCCCGGGTCCCCTATGGGCGGACCCTCCCGTGTGTGCCGGGTCCATCTGCTCCCGCCTTCTGGTGCACGGCTTTACCAGCTCTCTCTCCCGAATCATCTCTTTTTGCTTCTCTGCGGGACCCTCCTCTTAAGGATATTAATACGTTTTAACTATCTCCCAACTTTAAAAACTAAACAGAAAAACACACGTGCCTTGCCCTTCATCTCTCTCCAGCGAAGTCCCAATTCTCTGCTGACCTTTAGAGCAAAACTCATTAAACAGTCGCCTGTAATCATGTTCCAATGCTGCTTTTGACTCATCTGTTTCCATGCTGACCCCAGGACTTCGGCATGGCGGAAGAATTTGCTTCCAAGGCGCTCGAACTGAAACCAAAGTCCTATGAAGCCTTTTATGCCAGGGCGAGAGCGAAGAGAAACAGCAGGTACTGTCTGGGGTTAGATGTGTGACTAGAGGAGCCGCCTTGTGCTTCTGGGGTCAGAGCTGCTGTTGACGTGGGGGCTTCTGGCTCATAGGCCGCCGTCCTGTGGGGCCTCTCATCCCTTTTCATCCTAAAAGGGCAGCTTCCAAGAGGCACAGGAGTGGGGATTGCTGGCAATGGCTAAGCTTTTCTCTCCTTCTGACACCTGCATGACTATGCCTTCCCTCCACCCCAGCAGACACACACTGCAACATGAAGGTCCCAGGTGCGCTGTATAATCCAGTAAAGCCGCCCCCTGGAGACCTGGAGTGGGGGTGGTGGAGAGGGGGCAGGAGGCACAGGACTTCAGAGTAAGAGGTGGTGTGGTGAGCGGGGAGAGGGCGGGTAACTGTAAGGGGGTTCTGACAGCCGGGGGCTTAGGCCTGCCCTCACTCCCAGCCCAGTGGTCTTTGTAGAGGCAGCAGGGCCCGAGTCATGCGGATCTGGCCTGGAATTAGCGGTCCCGCTGAGCTGCGTGGCTCTTAAGCTGGTTACATGGGCCCTGCCTGCCAGTGAGGGTTCAAGCCTCCGCGGCTCCCTTCTCTCTTAGCCGCGCTGGGTGAGGAGCAGCTGCATTCAGAGCATGTTTTGGGGGTTAGGAGGGAGCAGCTGCATTCAGAGCCTGTGTGTTTGCCTGGCCTGTGACTGTGCCTTCTCCTTCACATGCAGGCAGTTCACGGCAGCCCTGGCGGACCTGCGGGAGGCCGTGAAGCTCTGCCCCACCAACCAGGAAATCCGGCGGCTCCTGGCCCGCGTGGAGGAGGAGTGCAAGCAGGTGCAGAGGAGCCAGCAGCAGAAGCAGCAGTGCCCGCCGCCCGCCGCTCCCACGGACTCGGACAACGAAGAGGAGGCCCCGGCCCCGGCCCCGGCCCCGGGGCCCGAGGATCCCTTCCCCCTGGCGGAGGCCGAAGAGGAAACGTCTCCGCAGGACGGCCCGGTTTCCCTGGCTCCCAGGCCCCATCCCTCCGCCCCGTCCCCCTACATCCGGAACCTGCAAGAAGGGTTACAGGCCAAGATGAGGCCCGCCTCGCCACAGAACCCACAGAACCAGCACCGGCCCGGGGCCACCCAGCCCCCGCGGGAGCCGGTGGCGCAGCCGGGGCTGGTGGTGCAGCCCACCAAGCAGGCGCAGATCGTGAAGACCAGCCAGCACCTGGGCGCCGGGCCGGCGGGCGCTAGGGGCGGGAGCATGAGGCTGCAGGGCTCCTCCCCGCATCCTCCTCCGAGCCCCATGCCCGTCCGGGGCTCCGGAGCCCCCCCGGGTGGCAGAAGCCTGCACCCGCACCCGCACTTGGCGGAGGGCGCAGGCCCGTTCTCCTCCGCAGGGCCGGGTCCGGGCCGGTTCGTGGAGCGGCTGGGCCCGGGCCATGGGGTCCAGATGCAGCACAGCGACAGCGGCGCCGCCTACCCGCTGCCCAGCAAGATCAAGAGCGCCGAGCGGCTGCTGGCTCACGCCCCCGGGACCCTGGAGGGAGCCTCGCTTGGCCACGGCCACGGCGGGCAGGTGGGTGGCAGCGACCTGCGGCACCCCGCCTCCCTCAGCAGCTCCGGCTCCTCCGGGTCCCCCTCCAGCAGCATCAAGATGTCCAGCTCCACCAGCAGCCTGACGTCCAGCAGCAGCTTTTCCGACGGCTTCAAGGGCCAGGGGCCCGAGGCCCGAGGCAGAGACAAGGCTGCTCCCCAGGTGCAGAGCGGCACCGCCGAGCACAGACCCCGCAACACGCCGTTCATGGGCATCACCGATAAGACGGCCCGGTTCCAGCAGCAGCAGCAGCAGCAGCAGAGCCATCCTCCCGGCCGCGCCTGGCACGCTGCTGCCGGGCCCGAGGGGCTGCTGCTGCCGCACACCCCTGCAGCCGGCCTGCAGGCCTCGAACCCGGAGAGGGCCTCCCTCAAACAGGCGGCAGCCGGGTACCACAGCCAAGCCAGGTCCGGCGCCGTGCCCACCCTGGGCGGCAGCATCCACAATGGGGCCCCCAGGGAGGAGCTAGAAGAAAGGAAGGGCCCGGGTCCAGCCCACTGCCAAGACAGCAGGGTGGCCAAGACTGTGTCCCATCTGTACCAGGAGAGCATCTCCAAGCAGCAGCCCCCGCACATCGGTAGCGAAGCCCACAGGAGTCTCCTCCCCTCCGCCAAGCCAAAGCGGTCCTTCATAGAGTCAAATGTGTGAGCCGGAGCGGGAGACCCGCTGGGGGAATGTGGAAAACTGTGCTGGCTCTTGGTGGTAATTAAAGTATTTTTTCAATGAGGGGAAAAAAATGACTTTTCAGCCATATTATTTTCTTTTCTTTTTTTTTTTTTTTTTTCCTTGGGAGCGGATCTGATTTATTTAAAATGTGAGATAAAATTACTGGGATAAGTACCCGAAGTCACCGTCCGTAAGAATGCTAACCAGAACTGAAAACTGCAATTAGTTATGCCTATTAAGTTAAACACTTAAGGCAGCCAAATAACTTGTGCTTTTTCTCTTATGAAATTTTTTGGTTTTTATCACCTTTCTCCTAGTCTTAGCTATGTGACTAAAATCATAATATTTCTTAGAGAATAGTCCTCTGCTATATGGCAAAAATCATACCATTTCTTAGAGAATATAAATGTCCAGTGATAGTTTTAACTCACGACTAAATTGCCAGATGATGTATTCTAGGAAAGATAGAATTTTCTAGTTACAGTTCCATCTAGTCAAACCCCAGTTTATATATCTATATATAAAATTAAGACCCCAGTGATTCTAGCTGAATGTGTGTGACTATACATGTTATATAGCTTATTTTCTTAAGCAAAATACAAGAACAGCCAAGTATTGTTCCCTTCACAGCTGTTCCCTGGAGAGGATTGAGCACTTATTTCTGTTATGGTTCTCATTAAACATATTTTTATAGCACGTTTTTTGAGCTACATTCCCATTTCAAGGTGTTTTGATATTTGGAAACAGTGTAAGCTATTTGGAATCCTGATTGGTGGTCAAGTTGGGTTTGGGCTAGAATACGAAGGATATAGCATTCTTGGTGACATAAATTACTTTCCGTTGGTTCCCAAACCGCTTTTAACAGGGATAGCACTCCTGCAACAAGCTTTCAAGATCCTTTAAGGACAGTATTTAATTTGAATCCTTTAAATTGGTTCGTTGGTTGCTTTTGTTTTATTACACAATCATTACTTTATAGACACATGTTGTATATATTAAATAGGCAAGTATATCCAGACTTGTATATACTATTTCAAGTAGCTAATCTTTAAAAAAAAAAAAAAAAGTCATATATTTGCATGTTCTATGTAAACGTCATCCATGCTGGTTATTGCACTGAACACTATATTATTACGGCATGTTAACAGTGTACCAGTAACGGCACTTTATTTCATTTATATGAACACCTTTGAGGTGCTACTTAAGTTCAAACTGATGTATTATCATTTGTAAAGATAAGGTACAGGAATGAGCCTTGGATTAAAGGTATTTTTATATGAAAATGGTGTGCTATTGAAGGATATTAAAATGCTAGTTTGAGAGAGGTGGGAGTGTGTTTTATACATTGGGATGTGAAAATTATTTTCTAGAATTGGGGAGAAGGAAGTTCTATATTTACAGAATGTTTTAAAAATGAATCATCGTAATGAAGTTCCTGTGAGCATCCTTATGGTTTTGTACGAATAGGAATCTTCTGGTGTTATTCTTCAACATTTGTTCCTGTTGTATTTTGTTGTTGTTTTATAGGTTTTTCATGAGTTCTGCTATAACATCTACGGCTTATTTATTGTTTTCTTTAATATTTGTGAGTCTTACTCTTTTGTTATGTAGTTTTGTTTCTGCACAACTACTGTACTTTTCCACATGGAATAAAGACTATTAATAGAATTTGTTTTTGCATTACTTTAAAGCAACCATGGGTAAGTAGAAAATGTCCTGGTGACAACTATTGCCTTGCTTTACTCCAGGTGATCTTGTTACCCTAGAGCCATGGTTGGCAAACTGCGGCTCGCGAGCCACATGCGGCTCTTTGGGCCCTTGAGTGTGGCTCTTCCACAAAATACCATGGCCTGGGTGAGTCTATTTTGAAGAAGTGGCATTAGAAGTTTAAAAAAAATTGGCTCTCAAAAGAAATTTCAATCGTGGTACTGTTGATATTTGACTCTGTTGACTAATGAGTTTGCTGACCACTGCCCTAGAGAAATAGTGAAAAGCCTATTTTCATAGTAATACTTCTAAATGCCTATTTCATTTTGTCATAATTTTAAAATAAAGGTGTGACAGCTTCTAGAAAGCCCAAAATATTCAAGGGTCAAAATTAGTCTTTTTGCCTGAAACAGGAAAGAAAGCATGAAGAGCATTCTGTAATTTTCTTACCTGTTTTTGGTGTGTTTTTACTGCCAATAGGATATCTTTAGTACTGTAATTCTCAACGTTTTGGCAACAGTGAACACGATTAATATAAGTTTGTTCTTTAGCACATTTGTATTTTTCGGTTATAAGTGTGTATTTGTCTATATACACATATTTCCGTTTCAAACTAATATGAATGAGAGTGAACATTAAACTGTGTGGTTCTGTAACAAAATCCTGACGTAAGCCTAGGTATTCCCTGATACTACTGCAGGTTATTGTCTGGTTACAACTATTACTATTACGAATAAAGCTAAATATAGTATTTTAAGTCCATCTTTCAAGGTATATATATATTTAAGCTAAAGGTTAAAAACCGGGTGCGAAAGAAGAGTCAACAGATAATTCTTGATGACTTGTGTGGAGCTCCAGTGTGACTGTTAGAATTTATTACATGACATTATGATTTTGATATATTCTTAGGAAAGCTAAGATATTTGCTTCAGTCACGCCAGAAGAGGTAAAGTCTCCTTGGGAAGCTCCAGGTCAGTCCTCAGGCCTGGGCAGCGGGCAGGTGAGTGTGAGTGCTGCTCCGTGTGGTCCTGAGCGAAGGGCAGGGCCTGCCTGGAGAGCGCAGCAGAGGGTTCATGTGGTGTCCTTGCCTGTGTAGTTGTTTGTATGTTGGTTTGTTTAGTTATATGTATGTTTGTGGGGAGGGGGAGTTGTTTGGTTTTGGTTTATGTGTAAGTACTTCAGTTGGTAAATTATTGGCATCCTATTTTTTTTTAGCCAGTTTGTATAACAAGAAACTATACTGGTGAAATATAGAAAAGACAGTCATCTCTAACATTTAAAAAAATAACCAAACTTTTAGTGTTTTTCTATAAATGACTTTAATGATTTTTATAATTTTTATGTAAAAATCAGATAGGAAAATTACAAATATCAGAACAAAAGAGATCTGGTCCAATGGTAGGCTCTCTCAATTAAAGAGAGCGGTTAAAATTACGTTAGCATCCTTTCCTTTCTTTTTTAGAACATGTTCCTTTTTTTATCCTCATAAGGATGCCCTTTTTATCCTCATAAATAAGAATATGAGAAGCATGAAAAAACCATAAACACTTCTAGCTATGACACACACAAAAACTCAGCAATACAGTATTAGGATGACAGAAATGGTACAAAGCAACAATTATAGAGAAAAGGCATTTGGAGCTTTCTGTGGTAGATAGACTCCCTCCCCCCCCCCCTTTTTTTTAATGTTTTTATTGATTTCAGAGAAAGGAAGTGAGAGGCTAGAGAGAAATATGATAATCATTGATCAACTGCCCCTTATTGGGGACCAAGCCCACAACCCAGGCATGCGCCCTAATCATAGAATCAAACTGTGACCTCCAGGTGTATGGGCTCCCGGATTGGAGAGGGTGCAGGTCGGACTGAGGGGCCTCCCCCCCTACATGAATTTTGTGCACCGGGCCTCTAGAATCTAATAATAAAATTGAGCATTGCAATTTAAAGTCAAAGTAAAACTTTATTTGCTAGAGGTTCAGATTTTTTTCACTGTATAAAAAAGCTTTTAGAGTAAAAACAGAAAAGAGGTTAGATGTGTTATTTAGCCCATATATTTTAAAGAATTAAAATAGTTTTTGTAGGTAACTAAATTTAAGAAGTTTACCTTTCTCCTATTTTGATTTTAATAATGTCCAATTAGTTTCTACCTTTAAATCATTCAAATGAGATCACTGATACAATATAAATAATACAATATAATTTTACTTTTGATGTGTCTCTAGCCATCGATCGATGGCCATTTTCAGAGTCCTATTTGGTGTAAGTACTGCTGAAGGAAGAACAAGATTTGTCATGGGACTTGTACGTCTCTTTTTGCTGATCCAGTTTTCCATTGCTTCCTTTTCATATGAGTAGCCATCTAAAACAAAACACATACACAAATTATTTGCAATGTAGAAAAAGGAAGTTAGAATCACTAAAATGAGTTGGATATAAAAAACTCCATTGCCAGTGTCTTTGAGATATATCACTATTGCCGAATATTTCTGCCACAGTACACTAATTTCTACCATTTAAGATGCATTAAGATTGCACATATTACTTTGAACAGTGTCAGTATTTTACTGATTCATTTTGAACACTATAACTGAAAAGCAACCCTGTTAAAATTCAGATGTAGCGGAAAGGAAGAAAAGAGGTTAGTGGTACTGAAGATACATAAGAGATACTGAGAGATTCTAGAACTAGTCCCACTAAGAACTTGACAGTAAAGGTATGTATGATAAAAAAAAAAAAATTTCAGATCCACTGGCTAAAATTTATAATGCCATGTTCTTGCAAATTTCTTTGCCTTGACACATTAAAAAGATTGGAGTTTTTGCTTCACTACACCTTTCCCTTAAACTGAAAATGTTAGTCCCTTAATTATATGTACAAAGTTACCTATTTGCTTTAATCTACAATGCATACAACTGTTTCAAACAGACAATGCCTACATGTTACTAACAGAAGAGATCCAGTAGAGTTGTATAATTGGAAACTGTTTGAAAATCACTTGAAAAAAACTTCTGATTATGTTACCAATTAGACATATAATTTGGTCCATTTCCTTCCCTTTTAATCCTCTCAATATTTAGAGATTTAATTTTCATGATTTATTTTAACACTATACATTCAAGTGGTTTCTAAGCAAAACTGTAAAACAAGGTATATTCAAAGGAATCCTGTGTCCCTTCTCTTATATGTAACCATATTATTTTATTTTATTACATCAATGAGAGAGAAACATCGACCAGCTGCCTCCTGCACACCCCCCACCAAGGATGTGCCCGCAACCA